TTTTTTTTTTTTTTTTTTTTTTTTTTTTACAAAGCCATGACGCCCGCAAACGCAGCCACGATGCCAGCGCCCATGGCGCCCACAGGGCTTCGCAGGATAGCAGCAGCGCCCGTCTCGGTAGGCTTCGCACCAGCCGAGGCGCCGGTGGGCTTTGCGGTCGCGCCCGAGGCCGGGGTGGCGGCGGCAGAGGTACCCAAGATGGCCTGATCAATCAAGCCCTGGACCTCCTGGTTGAACTTGTCGTAGTAAGCCTTGACGTCGCTGGGCAGGGCCGAGTACCAGGCCGGGGTGGCGGAAAACGTCTCGACGGCCGTGAGCTGCGTGACTTGGGGAGGGATGGAAAACGAGGCTGTGGCGACGAACGAGGCGAGGCCGGCGCGGGCCGACGAGGCGCTGCGCACGGCGGCGCTGTTGCCCGTCAGCGACGCAAGGCCCGACGAGACTTCGGAGAGGATGGACGATTTGTAGGCCTCGATCTGTGGGGAGGGGGGGATGATTGTTCAGTTTATGCAGTTTGGGGTATAGAGGCGAAATTGCAAAGGGGGGCGGATAGACATACGTTTGTGAGCACGTCGAGGTTGGTGGGTAGGGGCGTGGTGATGATTGCGAATTCGGCGACGGCAGTGGTTGCTGCTGTGGCGATGAGGGCGAGAGCGAGGTTTTTGGAATGCATCTTGTATGTATGTATGTATGTGTGTGTTTCCTTTCTCTATTCTCTTTTTGCAGGGTTCCTTGTGCGTGTGTGTGTGTGTGTGAGGGAGAGAGAGGTACAGTAGGTTCTTAATGCAGAGCAAGGTTCAGAGCGAGAGAGAGAGAGAGGCCGGAAGCTGGCAGTTGCGTCGAGAAAGAACGAGCGACGGGCGTAAAATAAAAGAGCAAAAAGGAGCAATAGATGGGCGCCGCGCACAAGAGACCAGGGGAACGGGGAGCAAACGCGTGGAGAACAAGTCCTAGGCGGGGCGGGGGGGAAAAAGGGAACAAGGACGGTGGTGTGTTGCTTTAAGTATAATTAACCACTTTGTTTTGTGCATAGCAATTGACCTTGGCCCTGTCCCGATAATACCAAAGTAGCTGTATTCATCCTAGGCTGGTGAGCCCAAGAATAGCCCAGGCCGACGACGAGAGAGAGAGAGAGGGCTCGCTCAGCCACGCCAGAATACCACAGGGCGGGTTGCCTGACTCTGCCCTGTTGGCCGTGTCAGCCATGCTTCGTAATCGCCATGGCCGCGAGGCATTTGCCGACAAGAGATTTGTGCTGGAGAGAGAGAAAGAGAGAGAGAGAGACAGGGAGCAGGCCGCCCGGTGCAAAGTAGTCTACACTCAAACGGTACTCAGACGCGAGGCGCACCCGATCAGCGACCCACAGATACGCATGAGTGACACGCGTTTGATGCGCAAACATGGCAGCCCTGCCCTGGATGATTAGCCTCGACACTGCCATGGCGCGGTGGATGTGCTTGGGGACAGCACAGCCGTTGCACAGCACTGCATGCCACGCCATGCCATACCATAACAATATTGGTGCTGTTCACGAGGTCGGCACTCTTTTGTTCTTCTTCTTCTTCTTCTTCTGCTCGCGCGCTGCTCGTGCCCTCTTGCGTGTGCATGCCGCGCTGCATTAGCGTCGGCTAGGTTATTATTAGATAAGCGCCTTTTTTTCTTTCTCGAGGCTGTGTATTGGCTGTGCTGCCTAGCTCTTCCGCGACAATACAACAATTCCCCACGGCCTGACCGGCCCCGACGATATGAGAGCAGACCCGAGTTTCCGCGTCGACGCCTTCTTTTTCTTTTCTTTTTTCTTCGTTACTTGACCTCCCTCACCGCCGTGTTGACGCCCATGCCCTCGTCGGCAATCTTGCTCGCCTGTGCCGTCTCGCGCTGCTCGCTCGACGTGTCGCTTTCCATCTCGCCATTGTGCGAGGCGCTGCCCTTGCGCTCTCTCAGCCCCATGAAGACGAAGCCGAGAATCACTGCAAGCCAGTACACGTTGTACGAGATGACGGATCCGTACGTTGCGCTGTTCTGCCACCCGAGCAGCGAGTTGAAGATACCCCAGCTACGAGGCCATGTTGTTAGCGAGCTTCAGCTGAAATCGTCACATGTGCTTACCCGCCACTGCCATTTTCGAGCGGAGAACAACACTGTCGGACAAGAGTTAGCACACGAACCTGAGGCAGACGATGCCACAAACTTACGTTTACATGCCACACGCTGTTCCTGATGTCGTAGCTACCAGGGCCTGAACCAGCCTCGGCAGCGCCCTCTCCGGCCAGCTTGACCCAGGCATTCTGCTCGAGATTCCACACTCCCTTGGAGAAGAGGCCCGCCGCCACAAGGTAAAGAAAGCACGTGGACACCACGAGGAAGATCTGCAGCGAAGTCTTGTTACCACCCTTGTAGATGAAGAATCCCACCAGCGCACCTGCACCCAGCCCGCAAATGACGGCAAGGGGAAAGCTTGTTGCTGGAGCGCTGAGACTGACACCCGCAATGAACCTGCAAGTGGTTGAGCTTGGCACAACTTAAACACACAAGCGTCGTGTCGACTTACAGCACCGCTTCGATACCTTCACGAAGCACCGTAATAAACGGCAAGATGAACATGGCATACTTCTCCGTCCATCGCTTCAGCTTCCCCTTGACCGGCAGGTTGAGGTCCTTTTGCTCGAGCACCTTGGATATCTTGACTCGCCATTTGTCCTGGAGTTTGCTGATGCGGAGCAAAGCAGCGCCCATCAACGTGATGATGACACTGGCTAGGATGCCAAACACGCCTTCCCAGATGTTCTCGGCCGTCTCAAACGTATTCTTTCCCGCCGTGTAGAAAGTCGCTATCACACCAGCGCAGATGATGAGGCAGATTATCACGCCTGCCCCCACGCCATACCACACCTGGCGCACGAGCCGCTTGTACACAGCGGCGTCCTGCGACGGCCCCAGCGTTTGCTTGAGGAAAGCGAGAAGGACGGAAACAATAATGCTTGTTTCCAGACACTCGCGGAAGCAAATGAAGAAGACTGGGGTCAGGTTAGCAAGACCTGCGCTGGGTATGTGGGGAATGAAGAGAGGCGTGTTTGTTGCTGCTTACGTACCTGGGACTGCAAAGACGTTCGGCATCGTGGAGGCTGTCGAGCTCGCTCAATTAGCACAGAAACTGGAGAATCTGATAAGCAGGCGACGAGCTTAAGAAGACAGCGCCTAATCAGATGAAAGGGCAGGGAATGTCACCAGCCTCTCGTGATCACGGCTCCCTTTACAGTGGCGCTAGTAAAAAGCCGAGTTTCGGGATGCCTCAGCACAAGCGAGCCTGCCTTTCCATCAGAGTTTGCCAGCTGCCAAGGGATGACGGACCGATTTTACCTCTGGATGATATTTTTTTCCTGCGTCGGTGAATTTGAGTTTATTGCTTTTTATTCCCGCAGAAATCTCTGTTGCTGATGATTATTAGATTGTGGGGTCGCCATCTGATTGCGGTATTCACTCTACGACCTGCCCCATCGACTGCAGGTGGCACTGTCTTCTACCCAAGACTCTTCACGTTTCAAATCCCGCAGTCGGTCATTGCAAGCTCGGGATCTTCACATGCCCAGCACGCCAAATCGAATCAAGAGATTGGAAGCGCAGGCTAAGACAGGCTTGTTGGTCCTCAGGCCCCGCCGCTAAACCACATGGCCGGGCGGCTGTGGTCCAGATTATCAGATGGTCCGATAACAACCGAATCGGAACTACTCCGCAGCAAATCATGTCGTGTTAGCATGATTATCATCCCCTCATATGAAGAGCAAGCCTGAAGCAGCGGTCAGGCGATTGGGCGCGATGACCGGAGATCTGCCAGAGCTGACCAGCACCAACATGCACCCCCCACTTCGTACCGCTTTACGAGCCTGTTTTGTGCTCAGCACCATCAGCATATGATCTGATAGCTCGGCGCCGAGGTATCGTGGCTTGAGGCTGCCACTAGAACCTGACGGGAAGGTGTTATCTGATCGTGGTGTCGTCGCGCCTGATTTCATTTATCTGATTGCTATTGCAATTCCACGCCGGAACTAGCCTTGACCATCGCACACGCCGGGCCAGAGTCGGCTGCATGTACTTGCTTGCTGGACCGCTCCGCACAGCTTCTGGCTGACGAGACTCTCCCATACCCAACGCCTCGGCCAAGATGGCGTTGTCTTTGTCAAACTTTCTCTATTCATTACTCCTACTAGCCACCGCCGCCCAATGTGCGACCGTCACATACGACTTTGATGTAGGCTGGGTGTATGCGAATCCAGACGGCCAGTACACGCGCCCAACCATAGGAATCAATGGAAAATGGCCCATTCCACCAATCGTCGCGACCAAGGGCGACCAGGTCATTGTCAACCTCAAGAACTCGCTAGGAAACCAGTCTACAAGCTTGCATTTTCATGGGCTGTACATGAATGGCACGAACCAGATGGATGGCGTCGTTGGCGTTACCCAGTGCGGGATCCCACCAGGCAGCTCATTCACATACAACTTCACGGTAAGCTTACGTTTCCACGTGCAAGTAGCGGGGACTGATGGTGACAGGTCAACCAACCGGGGACGTACTGGTACCATAGCCACGAGCGCGCCCAGTATCCAGATGGCCTCCGCGGCGCGCTCATTGTACGTGACCCAGAGAGTCCCTTCAAGGACATGTACGAGGAGGAAGTCGTAGTGACGGTGTCAGACTGGTGAGCAAGGCTTTTGACCCTGGAAACGTAGCGCAACTTCTCACCAAAACATGATGATGACAGGTACCACGACTCCATGACAAACCTCCTAGCAGAATTCATCAACATTGCCAATCCCTCGGGCGCAGAACCCGTTCCTCAAGCAGCGCTGTTCAATGACACGCAAAACCTGACTGTCAGTGTGCAACCAGGAAAAACTTACCTCTTCCGCATGATCAACATGGGCGCGTTTGCGGGACAATACGTCTGGTTCCAAGACCACAACATGAAGATTGTCGAAGTCGACGGCGTATACACTGAACCCGCGGACGCGAGTATGATTTACCTTACCGCAGCGCAGCGCTACAGTGTGCTCGTCACCACCAAGAACGACACCAAGTCCAACTTTGCATTTGTAGGCAGCATGGACGAGGTCATGTTCGACAGTGTCCCAGATGGGCTGAATCCCAATGTCACGGGCTGGCTCGTGTACGACAGCAAGCAGGCGTTGCCGGCGCCCAAGGATGTTGATTCGTTTGAGCCATTTGACGACTTCAAGTTGGTGCCGTGGGACAAGGAAGAGGCTTTTGATCGGGTCGATCAGTCCATCACGCTGGACGTCAAGATGGAAAACTTGATTGACGGGGCGAACTAGTAAGTCGCAGCATCTCTTTCTACACCGCACACACAGCTAACACATGGGAACCAGCGCCTTCTTCAACGACGTCACATACGTCGCCCCCAAAGTGCCTACCTTGTACACTGCACTTTCGACTGGCCCCAATGCCACAGACCCGATTATCTACGGTACCAACACCAACGCTTTTGTCCTGGGCCACAACCAAGTGGTAGAGATTATCCTCAACAACCAGGATCCGGGCAAGTAAGTTGTCTCTTTCCATTAACCTGCAACATGGTCTTCAGCTGTATCAAGGACTAATCCACCGCAAACAGACACCCCTTCCACCTCCACGGCCACACATTCCAGGTGCTCGCGCGCAGCGACAAAGACGCTGGTGATTATGACCCTGCCACAAGCCCCAGCACCGATGCCGCTCGCCCGGCACAGCCCATGCGGCGCGACACGATCCTCGTACGGCCAAACGGCCACATGGTGCTGCGGTTCCGATCCGACAACCCCGGCGTGTGGCTCTTCCACTGCCACATTGAATGGCACGTTGCATCTGGGCTGACAGCCACCATGGTCGAGGCTCCGCTGGCGCTTCAGCAGCAACTTCTCGTTTCCTCGTCTCCCGCGTCGGCCGCAAATATCAGCACCGACAGTGTGATTCCGCAGAGCCACTGGGACGCTTGCCGCGACAAGAATGTGCCCACGCAGGGTAATGCCGCGGGCAACACGCGCAACTATGTCGATCTCACGGGCGAGAATAAGAGTCCTGGTAGGTTGCCCGCGGGCTTCCAGGCTAGGGGTATTGCCGCGCTGGTTATGAGTTGTGTTTCGGGACTGCTGGGTGTGGCGGTTATTGCGTGGTATGGTATGTTGCCTATTGGGGGAACTAAGTAGGAACAATCACGTTAGTATTATTGGCAATGGGAAGAAAAGAAGGTAGGTTAGAGGGTGCAGATTTGGGGAATCTGTACCAATGGAGTCGATGAGACAGACAGACAGACAGACAGACGGTAAAAAGCGAGGATGAGATGAATATGTAAGTAGTGCTTTATTCAGAGATATCACGATGAATTGAGAAACATGTTTTTCAACCTATGTATCACCGAGTCGCCGTTTTTCCGTCCAAGTCACAGCGAATAACTCGCACTGTCGTCGTCCCAGTAATAACTCCACATGTCGGTCCCACGCAGTGAATCCGCATACGCCTTTCCCTTTGTCGCGGCCGCCGCGCCCGCACACACAATGAGGGGCAGAAAGTGCTCTGCGCCGCCGCGGGGATGCATGCTATACGCATGCTGCCAGGATCTCCAGTGCAAGAACTTGTGCTCCCTCTGCGCGTCGTCGTCGGTCAAGGCGGCGTCCGTGACGGCGCGACTCCACTCCTTGGTCTGCGCCTGCAGCGCGGGGTTCGCCAGCTGGCTGAACAGACGCAGATTGTGGAACGTGGCGAAGCCCGATCCGATAATGGCGATGTTTTGGGCGCGCAGAGCAGCCAGCGCGCGGCCGACGGCGTAGGATTGCGCAGCCGACTCTGAGGCCAGCACCGAGACTTGGACAATGGGCGTTGTGGCCGACGGATCTATCAGTTTCATGGGCACAAAGACGCCGTGGTCCCAGGCTGTTGTGGTGGGTATTAGTCGCCGTGAACTTGGCTTTGAATTTGAAATTGAACGTAGAAATGGGATTGGGGGGAGGGGGGGGATACTTGAAGAGAGATACGTACGTCGTTGAGGATCCTTGACATGCTCTATGCCGGCTTCATCCAGCGCTCTGGCGACTTGCTCGGCGACTTCAGGACTGCCGGGGGCATTGTGTTTGATGTGGTACGACTCGGGCGGGAAGCCGTAGTAGTCGTACAGCAGCTCATGGGCCGCGCCGCTGGAAATGGTGACTTTGTCCGTGGACCAATGGGCCGTGACCAGCACGACGGCTTTTGGAGCGTCTGGGGTACCGAGTTTGAGGATGTGGGGCACGCGCGTCTGCAGCGACTTTGTAATGGGTGCGTGCGAGGGGTCGCCGAGAAGCGGCATGGGGCCACCGCCGTGCGAGAGGGCGATGACGGGGGCGCGCCGCGTCATGTTGGTGCTGTATGACGATAGGGGAAACGGCTGGATGCCGTGGAGAGGGTTGAACGTGGTGTTGCGTAGACTGGGAGACGAGAGTTGCGCCGAGGTCCGTTGGAGGCCGAGGACGAGTGTTAAGATGCGTGGTGCAAGTCGCATGTTCCGCCTGGGAACAAGGAAATTAATAGTAGCGGCAGTGGGTTAAATGTGGGCATGATAGCAGGGAGCATTATTGAAGTTTAATACGGAGGTATCTTTGTTGGTCAGACGGTTGGTTAGTAAGGTGCGAGATTTAGGAGCGCGGAATTATGCCGTGGGGGGGGGGGCATGCAAGGTTAGGCGCGGAACGTGGGCGAGTCACGTGGCTACGCGATGGCGTGGCAGCCGCGTGCACTGCGAAAGGGCTAGTCTCATGCATGTCGCCGTCTATCGCAGTAGCGTATTCGGTTCTTTGTTTTCTTTTTTTTTAGCACTATATGCAGTGGGGAAAGGAGGAGCGCATACATCACAGGACACCATCATGGCAAATGGGCACAAGAAATGATCGTCGTGGATGGATTTCGACTACGCAGAGAGAGAGAGTGTGTGTGTGCGTGTCGTGGCTAGCTTCAACTATGGGCAGCCACGGTAATACCAGTATCCGGAGCATCAATACAACTCCATGGACATTCAAGAAACGGAATACCAACCCCCAAGTGCTACGAAATGATAACCATAGCATTCCATCACGGCACACGCGCACCGTTCAATGGTCGAGAGAGTCTGGCAAGCGTGAGCTGGCGCATCTAGACTGCAGTCTCGGCTTGGGCATCTAACTCACTGTCAGTATTTTCCAGCCACGCCTCGATGTTTTTGGTAAAGATGAACTCACCGAGGCCGTCGCCGCCGTCAGCCGAGTTCTCGTCGTTGTCCTTGTCCTCGGCGTTGCCCTTGTCCTCGTGGGCGGGAGCTTCTTCGCTCTTGGGCTGCTTCTTGGGACGACCGCGGCGCTTCTTCTCGACAGCGGGCTTCTCAGCAGCGGGCTTGTTGACTTTGGGCGAATCGAACTTGTCCTGCTCGGATTCGGCAACTTCGTCGTTGGTGCCTTCAGAAGCCTTGGCGTGGTCATTGTCCTCGTAGATGGCAACTTCCTCGGTCTTGGGCTGCTTCTTGGGACGACCGCGGCGCTTCTTCTCGGCAGCGGGCTTCTCGACAGCAGGCTTCTTGCCCTTGGACGCCTTCTTCTCCGACTCGGACGGCTCCTGGTCAGATTCATCGGCTTCCTCGGCCGCGTCGTCAGAAACCTTGCGCTTCTTGGACTTGGGCGTGAAAGGAGACTTGGACGAGCCACCATCGGCAGATTCAGAGTGACCCATGAACTTGGCGAAAGAGGAATGGCTATCAATAGCCTTCCTCTTGACGATGGGCCCTAGATTTGAGCACGGCATGTTAGTTCGCCGCGTCTTGTTGATGGACGCATGGGACTTACACATCTTCTTGAGGGAGCCGGTCGTGTTGTTGGTGAGGGCGGCCATGAGGTCGTAGTCGTACTGTGTTTTGCATTAATCAAGTGCCATGAATACGAACACGGGTGCTTACTTTGTCGGGGGCAGTAGAGCTCAAGAAGGCGGCGGCTAGAAGCTTGGTCTCTCTGTCAGTAAAGCCTGCTACAAGCTCATGCGTATCTCCGCCCGTGTCCTTCTTGGGCGGCATGGTGTCAATGTTGAGGTTCGAAGCGGCGAGAGGTTCAATGTACGGGATGGAGTGGAGGGATGGAGATGGAGATGAAGATGGAGATGAGGAGGAGAAGAGGAAAGGTCTTGTCGTGAGAGGGGCCTGTTTTTGTTGTGGTGAACGCAAGCGCAGTGAATGCGACATGCAGGCCGCATTGGGAAATCCAAGGTGACGTGCGGAACGGAGCATTCTGATTCGCCCAAGGTGTCTTCACTGTTCACGGCCATGATCAAGGCAGATGCGCGCCCCGCTTCCCCAGTAACGGTTCGCCGCTCACTGGCCCAGACGGGCAGGGCAGCGTAGAGGGTGCTTTGCAGGTCCAAGGTGAGGGCCGAATGCTCTATGCTGGACAGGGTGAATGGGAAAGCCAAGGGGCGTGGCCAGCTATACACGATATGACGTCAACCACGTCTACCTGGACATGCTTATCTACTAGTCTGGGGAAGCCCCCCAGCCCCTGACATAGGCAGTGATAGGGCTCGTTGCACGACTCAGGCCGCAGCCAGACATGTGTTCGGCATGACTTGCTTGCCCCTGGACGCAGAAGCACGCGATGACGCTGGGCCGGGAGGGAGGCATGGCTGCACGAGTGGATGCGAATGCGAACTCTGGATGCTACACGAGTCGCCGTGTTTGATCAACGATGCCAGGGGGCCGCCGGCGGTGCTGGCGTGGGCGCGGGGGCGTGTGGTAGGGGGCGGGGTAGTGTTTGGCAGCGGCAGTGGTCGTGGGCGTGGGCGTGGCAGAGGGAGCGTGTATATGAAGATGGGCATACTTCAGCGCGGCGGCTCGAGTCTGCAGGGCGGGCCAGGGGATCTGCAGCCCGCGGGCCGCGCCAGGAACAGGCTGCACGCTTAATTTTGACGCCTCGCCTATCCTCGCTGGACCGACCGCCCGGCTGCTGGTGACTGACACGACAGCCCACCAGCCCCGACTATCGATTTCTGCCTCTCCCTTTGCTACCACTGCTGCGCGTTCCGCCGCAACCTCCCCTCCCTTGCTCCCTTGCCCCTTTCGCCCTCGCCTTCTGCCTGTTTATAGTCGCCCGCCCGCCCGCTCCCCGCCGCCGCTGCTCCCCTCGCTTTTCCCCCCATCACGAGCCCCGAAAAGCCTCAGCTGTCCCCTCGCTCGCTGCCTGCCCGCTGCCCCTCATTCACCCCCCGCCTTGACGTCCGCTGGGCGACGCGCATCCCAGAGAACCCCTCGTCTGCTGCTGGACTACGCCCGTCCTGTCCATAGCCCTGCCCAGACTTCCGCCCCTCCGCCCTGCTCCGGAATACCTGCTCCCTTCTGCTCGACAAGACGCCGCCATGGCCGCCATGCCTTCCCACGCCTCCCTCACCACCACCTACCGTGCGCGTGCGGCGTTGCCCTCGGTCGGCCCGCTGGCTTCGTACCTCCTCAGCCTGATAGCCGCCAAGCACTCCAACCTCTGTCTCTCCGCCGACGTCGAGACGTCTGCCGAGCTGATCCAACTCGCCGAAGACGTGGGCGACTCCATCTGCCTGCTCAAGACACACTGCGACATTGTCACCGACTGGTCCGACAGGACCGCCCAGGCGCTGAGGGAAATCGCCGTCCGCAAGTCGTTCCTCATCTTCGAAGACCGAAAATTCGCCGATATTGGTGGTATGTTGCCGTAGTCGCCCTCCGTCCAGCCGGGATGAGCCGAGCCTAATCCATGCCCCTAGAAACTGTGCAGAAGCAATACACTTCTGGCCACCACCGCATCGCTCTGTGGGCCGAAATCACAAACGCACACGTCCTGCCCGGCCCCGCCATAGTTACTGCGCTCGAGAAAGCCGCCGAGAAGACCATTGCCAAATACAACACATCGGTCAACACCGAGATTTCCGCCACACGCCAGGTAAACGGAGCGGACTGCGACGATGACCATGACGAGGCCATGGAAAACCCCAATTTCTCCATCGAGTCGCCCATCGAGATGGAGGGCGGAGAGAGGCGTCTGAGCATCCGGCCCCCGAACAGGAAACAAAGCGTTGTGAGCGTTACGACGTCGATATCCATGCGCACAGAAAGCATATCGCCTCGGCCGGAACCCAACCATAATACCGAAGACGTCTTCAACCTCGATACCGCAAGCGAGCTGATCCGCCTCGGTCCGCCGCCGTTTCTGCGCTCCCTCCTGCTGCTCGCCGAAATGAGCTCCGAGGGCCATCTCATGACGCCCGACTACCAGCAGAAGACGGTTGAAATCGCACGTAATCACCGGGATTTCGTCATGGGCTTCATTGCGCAACGCAGCTTGAACACGGAACCCGACGATAACTTCATTACCATGACGCCAGGTTGCCAGCTGCCCCCTCCAGGGCAAGAGGGCAAGAAGCTGGGAGACGGCCTGGGTCAGCAGTACAACACGCCTCGCAAGTTGATTTTGGACCAGGGATGCGATGTCATTATTGTAGGACGTGGCATCGTAAGAGCCCACGACCGCAAATCAGAAGCAGAGCGCTACAGGCAAGCTGCTTGGGCCGCTTACGAGGAGCGTGTACAAAAGGCATAAGCTTTTGGTCCCACAGGCTTAGTGGGCCATTTTTGCCACGTACAGAGACATGGCGCTATTCTGTGCGTTGGCAACTTACCCTCGGTCTTGGCCCAGGAAAGCTTGTCTTGAAACGGATCTGGCGTCTTCTAAACACAACAGGCAAAGATCATGGCACGGCATTGGAGCAGGGCGGCTTAGTCGGTTTACGGAACAAGGAGTCAAGGACGGACAATGTACCACATATCATCAACATCTTGGTAGATACAGTACGATGGCGATGCACCTCACGAATCATGTCCAATATCTGAGTTAATTTTGGTCAATACAATGCATTTTATCTCTTCGACCAATACACGTTCACGCATATGTATCAATTCAAAGCGACGACGTTCACTCGACTGAAGAATGGGCTGAATATCGTCCGTGCTGCTTCGGTTGGATGGTATCTGAGCCAGTGGAAAGGCTTCTATTGAGCTTTGGGTACTGCTAGATCATGCGTTGGCGAAGCAAACATAGGTAGTGGACGTCTTGCTGGCACCAGAATGCATGAATTGTCGCGCCTCCGCACATGAGGAAATCTGGTACGAATCAATACCATGGCAAAGCCAGCCATGCTGACTTTCCGTCTGGAGTCTAGCCACGCTTGCTTAGCATGGTCAGTCATGACGAGGCCAAATCACACAGGTTCAAACTCTCCTCACGGAACAAATATCCCTATATCAGCTTCGCAGCATGCATCCTAACTATGGTTCGAGAATACATGCCATGGTTCGCACGTTTTCCAAATGACAGGGTGTGGGTGCGCGCTCGCTTCCACTCTACCCAGACCACTCAGCGGCCGCCCATTTCCAGCGACACTCTTGTAAAGAGCTGGCAGTCGTCTGATTGTATCTAGTCAACCTTAGTTCTACTCTCTAATTTCGAACAGAAAACAACAGACTGTGACGTTCTTTCTCTCTCTCTTCACATCATGATGCCTGGCTATAAGAAGAAAGGGTATTGCAGTAACTCAGCACTTCCCTCAGCACGCAAACCGGCAAGCACCAACCAGCCTCTACCCAAGACAAAACATAGTTCCCCAGCAACATGAGCTTCTCGGGACAAGTTTCTCACACGCAGGTGGAGCGTGAAGGCGTGCAGCCAGCACAAGATAGCGCCTTTTCAGAGGCCGACACCAAGGCTCGCGGCAGAGTGGATAGTGTAGGCGACGACACCATCACCAGCACGACCAACGACAAGGCGAACAGCAAGCCCATTGCCAAGCCCACCAGCAAACAACCCGGTACTTCAATACGTCCTGTCGTCAAGGCAGAAGTCCCCCTCGTTTTCACCAGGCGAATCACACCACCACAGCAATGCGCCCAGCAAGCGCATTCCTCGTCCGGGCCTCCTCACCCTTCCCCTCTGTCTGCCCGGCTGCCCGATCCCATTCAGCCACCAGCCAACAAATCATCTCCAGGGCCGCACTCGTCTGCATCCAAGGCGCTACCGGGAAAAGAAGAGGAAGAGACATATGAGAAACTAGGCAGTAGTGCCTTGCTGGAAGGCAGTGTCCCGGATTTTACACCCACGGGGCACCAGTGGCGCGATTCATGCCGCGGCGTGGATAGTGAGGCTGTTCGCCGATATTTCAGCTCAAGGTATAGGAGGAGGGTATATGGATCTGTCAGGGAGCAATAGCATGGCTGAGATGCTGGGCATCTTGGATGAAAAAAAGAAAAGGGGGGCGATGAAGACGCATTGAGGGTATATTATTGATTTTTTTCTCTCTTCCACATTCAGCTAGTAGGCGGATATCTCAGTTAGTGTAATAGTAAGCGCAGTTTTTTTCAGTCTATCAAGACAACTTGGTTTCTTTTTTTGTGGGCGAGTTTTTTTTTTGCCATAGTCTGTTCAGGACATGACAGGTGGGAAGCGGGAATAGTGATGAATTAGGAAACAAAAAAACTAGCCAAGAAGCTGCTTGGCCCCAATCATGTGAATTGCCAAATTCCAAGTTATACTACTTATCCATGACTAACTAACTAACTACTTCTTAGCCTTAGCCCACATTCGTCACAGAGCACACCGTGCTTTCGGTATTAAAGGAACCAGCACCTATGCTCGGTACACCTGCCCTTCCACGCCGGGCTTCCAGAAAGAAAAAGAAAAAAAGAAAGAAGGAAAGAGGGGGGGGGGGAAACACGGGACTTGCCCTGACCGGACGTCGGTGCCCCTTCAACTAAAGTGACTGGGATACATCCATGCAAGCATCAGCATCAGCATCAGCATCGTCATTGTCACTGTCATTGTCATCAGCAAACCCCCGACATGGAGAATAACCCACGACCGATGTTAGCGCGCCAAAAAGCCCATCTTACCTACACAGCACAAACGAAGACCCCATGCTCACATGTCAGCTCTCAAACGCAAAAAAAACAAAAGAGAATAAAGCTTCGGCCCCTTCTGTAAACGGCTGTGACTCTACGCGGAACACGACGCCCCGAGCAAGGAACAGAAAGGCAAAAAAAAATTAAAAAAAGACAGATAGAGAGAGAAAGAAAGAAAGAAAGAAAGAAAGAAAGAAAGAAAGAAAGAGGGAAAACAATAAACCTTCCTTCGCCAGCCCCCGGCTCTCTCTCTCTCTCTCTCTCTCCTCATCCCCCTCACCCAAGAATCCTCAGCGCAACAAAGTTACGGCCGTTGGAGTGGATTGGGTTGTTAGCCTTTTGGCCCGCCTTTCTTGCTCTCGTCTCCTCTCTACTTACCACCTCTTCCTTGTTCTGCTTTCTTCCCCCCCCCTTGTAGACTACCCACAGCAAACACCCGTCAGCAACGCAGTATCTGAAACACAAAGTGTCCCGCGCGTACGTCGGCAAGGGAAGGCACGCGCCCGCGCGCGGGCGTTCTACGGCTTACATGTATCCACGCTGAGCCAGGCAGGCGAGCGGGCGTGCGGGCGTGCGGGCGCTACGTACGGAGCCCGCCGCCTCGCATACATGGTTGCTTTGCTGAGGTACTTGGCTGCTATTAGTACCATAACACTTGACATAAGGGGGGGGGGGCTCGTTCTTTTTCTCTTTCGTGATGGGGGGAGGAGGCGGGGATTATTTTGTTCTCACTTGCCTGCCCTTGCAATCGACTAAGTAAATAGCCTGCGAGCGAGCGCGCGCGCGGCCAAATTACCCTTGCTTGCTGATGCCGAATACTGCCCGCGCGGGGCCAAGTGCGCGCGCCGAGTATTGGATGGGTTTGGGAAGGGAGGACGTGAGAGGCGGAAATGAAATACGGACTGGCTGGTGGCGTCTGCCTGGACTGCTGCTGGTTGCGGTTGGATGTGGTGAGGAAGGGGGGAGGGTTGCGCGCGGGCTACTTAGCTGCGCGGCGTAGGTTTGAGAGTTGCAAGGGCGAGGGTGATATTTGGCCCTCTGGTTGGGAGCGAACTTGGGGTCGTGTTTATGTATGGATGGATGGATGGATGGATGTGACGATGCGGTGGGGCGTTAGAGCATCTCGCATGTTATACCTGTGCATAAGTAAAGATGGTTGAATATGCCATAGCATACTTACTCAAATGTGTGGTGGTGGTGTAAACATGGACAATGAGGACAAGTACGTTTCTCTTGGCTGCATCTGACTACTGCAACCACAAGGCTTGTGCGCGAGATCAAAAAGCAGGAACAGGAAAAGAGGCCGCTGCGGAAGGATGCGCCGCGCGGGGGGCGTGCATGGAACCGGGGAAAGAAGGAATATCGCATTCAGTGATTACTATTTTTCTTTTTCGTCTTTCGCCCTTCTTGCAGCTCCGAACTCGCGCTACTTACTACCCCTCCCCTTGTCCGCCGCTCACACGTCAAAACAAGTTGAAACTGCAGCAGGCAGCCTCACTGATCCTGGGATAAACGGCGCCCACTGCCCGATGGGTGCCTGGTGCGCGCGTACAGATTTGCGGCAGAACAAGTTTCGGATCCTCGGGGCTCGATTTTGGGGATGGGGGAGCGGAAAGGGGGGGTGTGGCAGAGGGGCGGGCGCTATAGTGACGCCCGCCGCATAAAAGTTGACGCATATAGATGCGAGAATAAGAGTTCAAGTCAAGGTGAGAGAAATGGAGGCCCGTAAGCGTCGAAAAAAGGCCCAGTAAAGTTTTACGAGTGGGGACACCGGTTTCGTGGCCCGTCCCCCCGTTTTTGTGGTTTGCGCATAAGGTTTGGGCGTTGTCAGGGCGAGGGAAAGTGACAGTTTGGCGCGTTGGACCCTGAAAAGGGCGAGAGACGGAGAAAAGAAAAGAAGGGGGGGGGAGGGGAAGGGGAAGGGGAAGGAAAAAAAAACACGTTGCCAAGATCTACAGTAGGTGCCACATGCAGGTACACATGACAGATGCATATGCAGATGAGATGCAGATTCAGGTACACACATGACAGATGCAGATGCCCCATGTGAAGAATTCAAATAAAATCTAGTCTGTTGAAACATAGTTTTTTTTCTTCTTTCTCTTTCGGTTATGTAATGACTGGTGGTATAGCTACATATTTCAGGTGTTGCAGATCCAGATATATTGGCGATTAATAAATACACATCATGAATGACTTAGGGCGGCTCTATCTAGTGGGCCAATGGGTACCAGCACCCATAAGTATGTATGAAAAAAAATAGTAAATGAGATGGAAGAAATGTTCGTTGTATCAGCCATTGGATCAACGCCAACATGTTCAGGATGTCGCCGGGCGCGTGCCAGTGAAATCCACATATCGGGGCCACGTGTTGGTGAAGACGAGGTACTTGATGCTGTCGTATGCGCTGTCAAATACCTGTTCTGTAAAGTCGCTCGGCACAATACTGCGTGCGCTTGATGTCGTTGATGTTGTAGCGTTGCTGTCGATACTGGCTGGACGGCTGAGCGTGTTTTCCCACGGGCAGATGACGTTTTCTCGCTGTACGGGCGAGTTGACGTTGTCGGGGGTGGGGCAGCGCGGCATGTACGGGTCAAACTCGACGTTGGCAAACATGTTCTGCATGGCCTTGAAGATCTTGTATTCAATGTTGATGGGCGACTCGGCGGTGAAGGGGTTGACAAGGGTGAAGAAGATGAGCGACGCCTCGTTGAACATTTGCCGGCGTTGCACAGTCGTCACCACGTCGAGGCTGCCCCACTTCTTCCTAAAGTTGCGCACTTCGCGCAGGAAAATGCAGTTCTCCGCTGTGAATTCGCGGATGGCCGCCCAAGCAATCAGCGGCTCGATACTGTTCTGGATAGTGAGCTCCAGTGCCCGCATGGAACCTTTGGTCTTGAACTCCTGGCTAAACACAATCTTTGTCGGCTTTTCGTCCACGACCGAGTGGATCGAGTTGAGAGAGGACGTGTCAGACACGGATGATCGACGGCTTGGTGGTGTTCTCATTGCGTCCCGCAGAGGAATCAGGATTAGGACTTGTTGGCAGACTACCAGTGAGGGAATGAACCTGTCCAATGACATGAGTACGCGCGTTGGGGCACCATGGCTACAGTTGTACTTACCACCCTGCTGGTGCAAAGTATTCAGTGATGCCATCAACGTTTGACACGCTTGTGTAGGTAAAGGCGATCCAAAGTGGTGTTCCGGGAAGGCTGAATGCAACGTCAGTGACGCACATGGTCAAGAGAGTAGTTGAACATACCCAGCAATGATGGCCAGTCTCGTCTGCAACGCCCACGAGTGAACGTCGTGGATCTTACGAATCTTCCACAAGATCCAAGGCCCCACAAGCATACTCCAGAATAACTGGACAAAAATTGAGGGCACCCATTCAGCGCCCCGGCGACACTTTCGGAAGTCTGTAGCTTCGCCAAAAAATCCATATGACGCATGGAAGCGACGCGACCCAAAGAAGAGGGCGATGGCAGGAAAGAACTAGCTTGATCAGCGCAGTCACTACAAGTTTCAAGTCTACAGCTCTTACTGAAATGACCAATCCAGCCACAGTGCCCACGTAGACTTTCTTTGCTGGATCAAGATCGCGCCACGCTTCATATAGCCCACGGGGAGTATATGATATGCGCTTCTTGCGGGCACCTTCGAGGAAGTCGCGCGTCATTCGGCACTGGTTCTCGTAGACGGTGAGGACCTTTGCATTGCAGGCTAATGGTGGGTCAATGATGGACTAACAAAGACGGTAAACACACTTGACCCACCTTGGAAAAAGGCCATGCCCGAGGGAAGAAACACGGACATGATCCAAAACTCGGCGGCGCATGGAAAGTAGCCATTCCAAGGGTACACGAGAAGGACGACGACAAGATAGATGTGCAGCATCAAGACTGCCGCCAAAACCACCTTGATATTCCTCACGCGTATACAGAAAGCATTGCGGCGGCGATACAAGAAGAACAGCTCTACACACAGGATGATGGTGTACAGTACAGCGGCGAGGATGTAGATGATTCCGAGAGGACCGAGGTTGAACGTGTCGGTGCCATCTAGCTTTCGTGGACGCAGGATAGCTGCCATGGCCACCATGCTGTAGGGGATACTGGTTCAGAGGGACGGTTTGGACCCCAGGTCTCAACTGGCAGTCGACGAGTTGTGGGGAGGGGGGGTTTTTGAAGACTCGGCTCCTCCTCTTACTTAGCAGAACGAGCGTGGGACGTGTTGCTCAAGGAATGGAGGCCGCCCAGCACCGAGTAGACGGTCCAGGTCATGTAAAGGTCCGATAAGCGAAGAGAGCGGCACGCGACTGTCACGAGGAGCGGGACGGAAGGTTGAGAGCAAGAGTGCCTCGCACATGGGCCTGTTCTGGCTAAGAGGGACGACGAGACGTGATTAGCTAGGCGTGCAGGGCCTGAGCGGTAAGGAATACTCGAAACTGGCAGAGACAGATGGTGCTAAGCCAGAAGCACGGCATGTCCTGCGTGTAACGGGAGGGATGCGCATATACTGCAGGGAGAAGAGGGCGCACTGAGCGTCGGCGTCACGAGAGCCAACGTGGTGACACAGGCACATTCCCTGCCCGCCTGCTGCCGTCATGGCACAATCGAGGACGTCTGATGGGCAATGTCAGATGCATTGGCCCGGATGCGATCTGCGAATCTGCAAACGGCAGCAAGACGATTTGGGTCGAGGCGTTGCGGACGGGGAGTGGCTGGCCTCTTGGATCGTCGCAGCCAAGATCAGACGTCGGAGGTTTCGGCAGGCTAAGCAAGAACCGGCCAGGAACCCCACACAGCTACACCATCTACTTGTATCCACATGCACCCTCCATCCACCCACCCACCCCCGATCTGGCCCTGCGGCACAACTCGCGGTGCCGAAGTAGCGGCATGGAGCACGCCCATTACGTCGCTGGCCCCCGCCCCGGCCGACATGGCTCTGCTGCCGATCCCGACACAGCCTCGCCGCAGGCCCTGCCCATGCCGCCCCCCTCCACGCCCACGGCTGCCATGCTGATGCAGATCGGCTTGGATGGCGCGCGAGGACGCATGCGGCCGCCCCGTTTCAGTTTCCACCATGACTCTTCCATTGACCGGCAAAAGTCTCGTCTTCATGCGTTCGCATGCCCTCCTCCGCATTTCTGGAACGTCGAAAACACCGCCCAAGGGCCAGTCATGCTCCCAACTCCTGTCAGTCTTGGGATGGTTTCAAGTCGTGTCTGCTGGGAATCTGGCGGCTCTTCTCTTCCCGAACCGACCGTGTGTGTCTACCAAAGGCTCTATTGGCCGCGCTGTCGTCAGGCCGCCATCTGCTCGCCCTGAGGACCACAACGGCCATGACAATGTCTGACGACTGAGACACGCTGTGCTTGCAGATTCACAAAGTCGTCCGACCCAAGGGCGCCCGCCGTGTGACAGGCCGTTCAACGGCGCATCGCAATCAAACGTTACGGATGAGCCACAAACATGTCAAGTCGCCCGGAGGAACCATGGCCATCAGCGCCATCGCGCCTTACGGCATTCCCCGCCTGTCAATGCAACCTACCTGAATACCGGTCCAGCGACTTTCTGATATGCGTCCATTCTGCTATTCTAATCAGAGACAATGACCTGCTAAAGTCCTACCAGACGTGTGTGTGTAGCTTTCGCCCTCAATCCCACACGCACAAATTGCCGGGGAATGCATAATAGTCCCCTACAGCTCACTGCATACGTCTGTCAAAACAGTTTCCCGCGTCGGTTCGTGTCACAATACGAGGGGCGTACCAAAGTTTCTCTGTGCATCGCCATCCGACTTTGTCATACTGAGCATCAAACCAGATGCCCGACGCTGCTTCTCGAAGCTGTGTAGAACTGCGTATTCATATACGCGGGCTCATTCGCTGACTGAAGATATTTTTGCGAGGGCGACTGGTCCATTTCCGCCGCTGCCATTGGATACCACGCCTAGGTTCCTTGCAACCACGCCACACATCTAGGGTGAGTTTTCTCTATATTTAAACCAAAGAGACACCCGATTTTGACAGCTGCATAACGTCGACACTTCACTGGGCACAAACAGATTTGTGTTTAACCAAGTCTATATCGCGTCTGGTCAAGCAGACACCTGTCAGTAGACATACAACAGTAAAACGAGGAAGCCAAAGTTCCGAGTGCAAAAATAACAGGAGGTTGATTTAACATTAACACTTAAGCCACCTCATCGTTGTTATAGTGGACAAGGCTATATGATCCAGGTTTGCCCATGCTTATCTGTTATTATTATTATTATTATTATTATTCCATTAGAGTCTATCTGCAGTCAGTGACTATGTAAGACTTTGGCCAGAGGCCGTTCTAGATACAATTTGTTTAAAGTGAGAGTGTTCTCTGTATAGTACTGCTATTGTGCTGCGGTTTAGTCGCTTCTAGCTGCGCTTAAAGCAGACTCCAGTTGCTGAAGAGCAGTTTAGTAAACAGGAAGAGATGTTAGACAGCAGGGCTGTCTTCCAGCGAGCTCTTTTAGGGCTAAGGAAAGTAACTTAAGAAGGTTTGTTAGTTATTATTGGTTTTAGGTAGTGTCTCTCTGTTCTCGCTTATTTTTAGTTATCTTGTTCTTGGCCTAGATGCCAGCCTCTAGTCCCTACTCTAGTTTTAGCAATGAAAGCTAAAGTCGCCTCTCTGCCTTTGCTAGTGTGGAGGAGTAGTTGGATTGTTAGGTAGTTCTCGCGAAGAGTTGCTTTTAGCGCTTGCCTTTCTGTGTTGTAGTGCCAGCAGTATAGGAGAAGGTGATCTGGTGTCTGTACTCTCCCACAATCGCAGAGGTTTGAGTTTCTCTTTTTCACTCTCTCTAGATAGGCGTTAAAGTATCCGTGGCCTAGCTTGAGAGAGATGCTTATCTGTTGCTGATGCCAAGAGTAGATCTCATGGACACATGCCGAGAACAGTGACAGGAAATAAGGGCGTACGGCCTGTATTTCCAATAAATGCGATCTAAATACATCGCCTTAAGTCAAAGTGAAATCGGATTCGAAGAATGTCATACTTGAGCTGCACAAGGACGTCCGGAGCTTACTTATCACGTGACGGGTCCTGTTCCCAAAAAGCATTCCTCTGTGCATATCACCCAGAACACTTTCAAGATATGTCGCCGTATGAAAAGATCCAGCAATTCCTTAGCATCAAGAAGACTATAACCAAGAATACCAAGACGCCATGGACTGTGGTCAAGCAGTCACAGTCTCAATTCATTTCTTGAAACACGAAGCTGGATATAAACCCTTCGAGCCTACCCATATCTCCCCCCCAACTATTTATATATCAACAGATGCAGATCTGAATAAATCATCGCCTGGGGTACATTCGGTAACCAAGCCCACGTCGCTAACACCTACATGACTTCCACAAAGCCCCACTCCGCAATGCGACTCTCGCCAGGACATTACTGTCCACGAGTCAACCATGGCGTTTCTCAATGAACAAACTCACGCCACCACATGACGCATGCATGGTATGCCCGCCGAAAAGGGTTCCTCTTGACGGTGGACGCGTTTTGGCAAGTCGGCATGAATTTCAACGCCACCCATGTGCTCCAATGCCCGTTTCCCAGCTTGAATCGCTCTCTGGAATCGAAATGTACGGCTGTGAATGGCCGGCCTTGTTCAATTCCATACACTCTCGGATCCGGATTCCGGGCTACCCCTCGCTGCAGACATCGGGTGTTGGCTTCGTTATGCAGGTTTTCTCCTTTGGGACTTACCAACACATTGGTTTTGATTTGCGCGTTATCCAAAAGTTTGGGTAGAGTCATGGCTGGACGAGTCAGGAGCGGGCTGACGTGTGCTCGTGGCTCTGTTACCATGGGCCTGGTTGCCGATATGTTTGATACAGGCGATCGGGAATATGCCGTCCTGGGGACTTTTCACTTCTCCTCCCTTGGCGATGTTCTAAGTGGCTTTTGGAGGTGCAGTACGGCAGTCTCTCGGCTGGCCATGGAACTCTCGGATCCAACTTATTCAGTATCCAGGGTGTGACTACATGGCTGATCCAGCTACTGGTCGCGAAAGAGACTCGCGCTGCAGTCTACTCGATACGAGGGGAAACGGCAAACCGAATATCCACGCACCCGGCAATGAAAAGAACTAGAACAAATGGATTCCCGTATAGGGAAACTATCACAATAAAATTCCAATCATACCAATACCCACCTTCGAGTCCATCGTCATGCTGCCCTCAATGCCGAGCAGCTTTGCCGACGTCTCATTTTCTCACATTTCAAAAGCGGTGGCTACATCTGAGTAATGGTTCTCCACACCTACAAACATTTCGCTCGCTCTTGAGGCCTTGGCAGTTTCATACGTGTTCGGTTCCTCGTCGTCTTCCCTGCCGTCAGTCGACACAACTACCGACGTGCTAAAGACGAACATGTCGCTCCCGAAGCCCGCCTCAAACCCCTCTTGCGCCACGTTGTACTTCCACCTATCAGTCTGCTCATCTGCGCTGCCGTTGCAACAAGAGTAGCACTCTACTGGCTGGTGTCGTTGCAGCCTCGCTTCTCGTCGGCATCTCAAATCCTGCTATTTCACATGCCGCCACCGACTACATGATTGCCGCAAACGATCCCTACAACGCATTTACCACGGATGGAAACCGTTTCAAGAGCGACTCCTTGGCACGTGTATGCGTTTTCTACACTTGGGTCCACTTACACCAAGCTAGGCATCCGGAACACATACTCTGTCTTGTTCGCGCTTACTGTTGCATTTTGTGTTCCAGTATATTTGTTTTACCTCAAGGGCCCGGAAATTCGTGCAAGAGTAGACTTGAGAGGAAGCTGGAGACGAAGAGAGAGGAAATGAACAGGCAAGATGACTTTGAGCTGAATCAATGCATCGCATTGCCTTTGATGTATCGGGATTCTTGGAGTGCTTGGATGGTCTTCGTTAGCAATGCAGGCGGGAGTCTAGCCCGTATCCAGTATGTTATACGATCCATAAGATATTCTTGTGACCCTTTTGTGTATGATAATGAAGAGGACGAATCTGGTAAGGTGCTTTCAGAGGTTGCAGATACGAGGTACGTCATACGAACATAAGCGATCTCCCGCTAACTCGCCATCTACGCAGGTGCCACTTCAACGACGACATCATGTCATTAAAAGTAATACAAGACTACATCCCTGAGTAGATCTCGAAATCCCAGAGGTTTAAAACGTAGTCCCGAAGATGTTCGGCAAAACGCCCAACTGTCAACAATTTCTCGTTCCGTCTCGAGCCCTTCGCACAGCGGAGAGTTCCGCCCATGCGCCATCATGGTCCCAGCGAAACCTAAAAACATTGTCATCGTAGGAGGCTCGTTGGGCGGTCTGTTAACAGGCGTTGCGTTAAAACGCTTGCGGAAAGACCTTATCGTTCGCATATTTGAACGCAATCCTACGCCACTTCTCCAAGACCAGGGCGCAGGTGTTGTGGCAGGCCAGGATGTGCAAAAATTCTTCAATACTTACGACCAAACTCAAACACCTTTGGCAGTTCCGAGCCACCAGCGGTTGTATCTCGACAAGGCAGGCAACGTTATCAGTTGTCACGACCAAGAGCAGCGCATGACAAGCTGGGACTTGCTGTACCATGTGCTCCGGACGAACTATGATGGCACAAAGACTGACTATGCGGAGGTCCCTGTACCAGAAGATGGCGAAGGCAGAACCTCATACGAGTATGGATGTACAGTGACGAGCGTCTCGGTACCAAATCCATCTGCAACGCAACTGGATTTCTCAGACCCCATCCAAGTCACCTACCGACACAAAGCCGGAGCCATATCCACGGCCGAGGCTGACCTAGTCATCGCAGCCGATGGACCCAGCTCCCAGATCCGCACCGAGTACTTTCCAGACGTGAAGCGAACATACGCAGGCTACGTTGCATGGCGCGGCACCGTCCCTGAGACGCAAGTCTCGCAATCTGCACTCGACGTCTTTGTCGAGAAATTCCCCTTCTACCACGCCCCAGGCATGCAGATCCTCGCATACACGATCCCAGGCAAACGCGGGACCACGATGCCAGGCGAGCGGCTGCTGAACTGGGTGTGGTATGTCAACTACGCGGAAGACTCGCCCGAGCACATCGAGCTCATGACGGACAAGCACGGAACCAGACACCACATTACCCTTCCGCCTGGCGGCATCAAAGACGACGTCTGGACACGCCAGAAACAGTTCGCGATGCAAGTTTTACCCCCTCAATTCGCCGAGCTCGTCACAAAAACGCAAATCCCTTTTATCCAAGCCATCACAGACGTACTTGCCCCGGCGGCCTTGGTCAATGGCGGCAGGCTGCTTCTGCTTGGAGATGCGCTCGCGGGCTTCAGACCACACACAGCAGCCAGCACGAACCAGGCTGCGCTCGACGCAACCAAGCTTGCTGCTGCGCTGGACCGCGTGTTGCAAGGGGACACGCGAGCACTGCACCAGTGGGGAAACGAAGTCGTGGAATACGGAAACAAGTTGCAAAAACACGGTGTGCACATGGGTGATAAAAGCCAGTTTGGAGAGCATCCTATGCAGCAGACATAAGTAAAAAAAAAGAAAAAAAAAAGAAAAAGGTACGGTTTGGCTGTGTTCAGGGGGGTTATTTATGTATGTATGTATGTATGTATGTATGTACCATGGAAATCTGGAAGCGGCGTTACGCGGCAAATATGCGGGAATCCCCGTTCTTTGTTTTGTTTTAAATCAACAACAACAACAACAACAACAACAACAAACGGTATATGCCGTACATACGCACCGAGTATTCTGTTTCTGAGATTATCATATCAAAACATCTAATGAAAGATATTAAAAAAAAACAAGAGTTGTGGATACACATATATCACATGTTGTGCTATTGACATGGTTATTTTTTTTTCGCGGGTACTTAACATTGGGAAACCATGCAATATATCCCCTGTCACACACACACAAGAAAAGTCTTGATTATTATCACAATTTGGAAAGTGCCGCTACAAGGGATTAAAGATATATCATTGAACCCCTTTTTTCCTTTTTTTCCAAGACAATGGCAAAAAAGTCAACAAGTCATTTTGCCAAACACACACACACACACACACACACACACAAAAAAAGGGAGGGGGCACGATGATCACGAAGGAGATTGCTGTTGCACAAAAAATGATGCTGCCATGCAAATGTTTATATATATACAGATATATACAAAGAGAAGAAAAAAAAGGTCAACTGCTCCGGAGAATCTATATACAAGGCTCCCCCCCCTAAGAGGGACAGGAGAAAAAAAAACACTATGCATCAAATCAAAACACGCTCATTCGTCGTCCTAAAGCCGTTCCGATACGATCGTACAAAGACTTCACACGAGAATCGGGGCTTGCAAAGTTTTCCTCGTGTGTTTGTGTGTGTGTGTGGTTTGTTGCTCGAATCTAGTACTCGAGGTCCCTGGCGTGCCTCTTGGCCAGAGACTTGACAGAGGGGCCGGGAACGGGGTAGCTGGAGAAGGAAGTGAAGACGTTGAACTTGATGCCGGGGTCGTTGGCCTATATTGCGGAAAGAAAAGAGTTGGTTAGTTTCAAGAGAGCCAAAAAAACATGGGGGGAGGGGTTGTGTTTCACACTTACAGTGTAGAAGCTGGTAGCCGGTGTGCCGCCGGAGATCTTGCCAGTTCCAGAGCCCTCGACCTTGAAGTTGATGCACTGAGGGTAGGCCTGGGCGCCGTTGGTCTGGCCAGCTGCGTGCAGAGCAATGATTTCGTGGCGGACGACGTAGTTGCCCGCGGCGACATTGGGGAAGGTCATGTCCCAGGCGAAGTTGTTGGCAATCAAGTCGTCGGTAGCCCACTTGCCGGGGTTGCTGCCAGACTTCCAGGACTTGGAGGCGACCTTGACCCACTGCAGGCTGGAGGGGTCAACGGATCCACAGTCGCCGTTGCAGGCCGCAATGTACTCCTGAATGGGGCCGACGTGGCTGGCGGGCCATGTGTCCCACTTGAAGGTGACCTTGCTGCCGGGCTTGACAGTCACGTAGGCGCCGTTGCTCTTGCCCTTCTTGTGGCAGACAATGGCAGAGGTGCCGAAAGCCTCGGGCGAGACGAAGCCGTTGTCCAGGTTGTCGGCTTGCCATCCAACAGTGGCGGGGATGGGGTTCTGGTACTGGAGGGCAGCGTTCCAGCCCTGGTATTCCTTGCCGTCGGCAAGGACCTTGTCAACGTGACCGTGGGCAGCCACAAGGGGCGCAAGAAGGAGGATGAGGGAGAGCATGATGATGATGGTGATGGGTATGTTGGTGGGGGCAAAGTGAAGGTTGGTCGTTTCAATCGATGTAGAGAAGAGAATGGAACGGTTGAAGGCTGTTGCTGAGGACTTGCTGTCGAACAAGACGTTGAAGCCGGATATTTGGTTCTTCATATACTCGTCGCCAGTGTTCTAGCGCCCGTCTCTCCACACCTCAACGGTTCCTTCTACCAGGTCGTGGAAGCGCCTTGCAATCAAAAAATTCATTTCCAAGCGTCGGTCTCCCTGGTTCCTCAGGTGGACGCCATCCGGTCCGAGGAAAGCGTTGCTTGTCGCCACGCTCCTAGAACGTGACCGAGTAGGAAATTTGGATCCTGTGACGGTCACCTTCTGATGCGATAGGTCAGAATTGGTCAAACATTGCCAAGCTTAATATCACTGGCGCAGTATTCTCCTACACGTCGGTGCTGGATAATATATTCTCGGCTAAGGGGATAGCGCCCATGACTGAGCTGCCAACCACGTGCCAGCCTCGCCGTTTGTGCTGTGGAACTTTCCAATCGGGTGCTCCTCAAACGGTGGGTACCCCTCAGGCTACGGGCGGAAGCAATATGGGCGGACTAGTGCGGTTGGCAGTTGGAGGACTAAGAGCAAGGTTGTGAATCGGACTCGATTGCATACAACGAGTGCATGTTACCATGCGCGATGTTGACCATCAATGCACGATGTTAACCATCGATGCACGGCAGTCAGCCATTACACTACCGGTACGTGATATGCAGTGTAACAATTTAGCCCATGGGGAAGGGGATTTTACTGTAAGCACAGCGATTTTGGATGATCCACATGGTGGCACGCTACTCCGGTGGCGTCAGGATCCATGCTGCGGTTAATTTGAATAGATTGCTGGGGCGGACCGCATAACCGAATATGAACCCTCTTCGAACAACACCACTGCCTGCTGAGGCTGAGTGTGCAGATAGTCGAAACAACCCAAGACGTGACAGATTGAAAACAACCCGAATGGGGAAGCTTGGTGTCAGGCACTCATTGCCCAGCAGTGCCAAACTGGTTACACTCGGTGAATTTCTCGTAGCGTCTGAATCGAGGTTGGAAGTACACTGTTCTGGGCGTTTGATTCCAAACAACTGACTTGGTGGTGGTCTCATGTGCTGATGATGTTTCAGCGCAATGTAGTTGTCTGTGGGTGGGTGGTGGGTGTATATAAGTCGAGCGTGGGCCGTCGGTTTGGGGGCAGACAGGGCGGTTTAAGAAGCACGCTCTTTGCGGTCAACGAGCGCTTTTCCAAGGCATATTGAGAGCTTTTGAGCAGCTTTTGGAAACCGTTTCTGGGTTCCAGGGCATCCTTTTTGCTTTGATTGGACCGACGCAGAGGAGACGGCAGGGGTTCCGACATAGGCGTGCGGAAGCAGAAGACAGCTACGTTGAACGCTGAGTAGCCTTGGACCTATATCCGCCTCTTCTTAGGGAGGAGTGAACCTATGCCAAGGAAATGGACGAGCGGTAGCAAAGCGCCTGTTGCATGGACGTTTCAGGTTTGTGGGGATGGAGTTAGTTTCTGGGCTTCCGCTGCTTGACGCTCAGGTGGTCAGTTGTAGGCGCTCGGGGAGGAGGAGTAGGAGCACCGCGTCGTGAATGCAAGGTCCGGGGCTGACAGAGTTTGGAGACGACAGCCTCATCGTGTGCTGAGACAGGAACATGACACAGGAGGAGGTTTGCAGAGCGGAGACATGCAGTCGAGTCTTGGCAGTGCGGTTCCCCGGCGCAACACGTGCCCTGGGTACGTGTGCGCGTCGCGTCGCGGCGTGGAATGGCGCGGAATCGCGTGGCAGTGCCTCGGATGTGTACTTCAGTTGGTTGTATGACGAGCTGACTCCTGTCATTGCTGTACTGTAATTCCAGACTATACTTAGATGACATAGCCGGCGTCGGGAACAGGAAAAGGAAATCAACAATGACGAAATCGACAAGAGGCCCGAGCCCGCGCGTACTTGACTTGCTTAGGCGTACACGTCTAGGGCAGGCTAACATGTGACGATCCGTGCCCCGAGATCGACGAACGACACGCATGACCTGCGTCACCCAGCACTCTGCCTCACTGCATGTCGCATCTTCTTGCGAGGCATCAACGAGGCTCCGATCACTCCTCTGTCGGGTGAGCGCTGTGTCTTTGCAAGGCGTGGTTGTGGCCATGGACAGGCGGTTTTGAAGCTCGGTAAGTCTGAAGGCCATTCATCCTGTATGCGGCTGACGCGTCATCGGAGGGCGACACTAGGACGACGCGCTGAGGCCGGCTCTGACAATCGACAAGACCAAAAATAAGGATGGCCCGCGGATCATCTGCCTGCATGCGATAGCCTGCCCGCTGACGCGCCGTTCTGCTGATGACAATAACGATGATAATAATAATAATAACAACCACCGTGTTGGGGTGCCTCGGACTGGGCCAGGGCGGAGCGTGTCGGCGTCGACGACACAGCCAACTAATATGTGTAGCAGCCACACCTGGTGACGTGACGGAAAAGAAGGAGACGGGAAAAAAGAAACAAGTGTCAGAACATGGGAGAAGCCGCAGCAGGCCCAGCCCTGGGATAGGAACAGGAATGGGGGACAGGGCCAAGCGACAGATGGCGACACAGCCACGCCGGGCGATTCCACGGAAGCCTTGGGTGTGGCAGATGAGGATAGTCCAGGCACCGTTTTTTCTTCTTCGTCTTCGGTGCGATTCGCATCCGTACCCGCACACGCACGCACGCAGGGAGTCGGACGAGTTGCGGGCGCCGAGAGAGGGTGAGAGGGAGGGCGAGAGAGAGCCCAGCAAATGGACTTACGCGTTCCTGGGGCGCCAGCAAGGACAAGCCCACGCTGGTCGCTGTCGGCAGAGTGGGTATGGTCAGCGTGGTGGTGTGCGTGAAACTGCGTGGCAGCCAATGGGGCCGAGGCTGCGGGCGCCCGATTGGGTCCTTGGACAACGGCGGGCGCGGGTCCAGAATCCCCCCAGCGTCGTGACGGCGAGACAGACACGACGCATGACGGTTTGGCAAAAGCTTGCCCGCTGCCTGTTGCCGGCCAAATACGAACTTACGAAGAAACGCGCTGCCTCTGCCAAACACATGTAAGAATATATAGCCCCGTCAGTAGTCGCACCGCCGCTCCCTACCTATGCTGTCCTACCCGCCGCCGTCACCGTCGCCGTCGCCATCACCATCACCACCCAGCTACGGCTCTCGCCACTACGCCTACTGCGCCCTTGCCAGCCTCTGTGCAACAATTTCTCGCATCTCATCCTCGCCTCTGCCGGAGTCGTAAGCACCGCTGTGCCGACGATTCGCTCGATTGGCTTCGTCCATTCGTAAAACTGCCACTATCTTCCGGAACATCCGCCACCCCTCCCACCGGCTGGCGCCCTTCAAACACTCGTCACTCCCTCACAGGGCCATCGCAGTCAATCCCTCCCTATCCTCCAATAATTCATTCTTGGTCTTGGGTTTCCCTCTCTCTCCATCCCTAGATCCCCATCATAACTTGCATTGCATTGCACCACCCACGCCATGCCACCCTACCCCTCCCCCGCCTTGCTTCTCCAGAAGCGAGACAACATGGGCTTCCAGATCGCCCCCAGTCTCATCATCTTCCTCGTCATCCTTGGCGCCGGCGCCCTCGTGTGCTGCGGCTTCGCCGTCTTCCGATTTTATAGCGATGCCGACGACGATGCCAGCCGCTTCACTCGGTCGCCCGAGCAAGACGCATACATGCGCGAAGTGAGGGAACGCAGTTGGGCCAAGCTGCCCAAGCTAGGCGCACCAAAGGGCGCTTACTACGCAGACCAACATGCACACGCACCCATGAGCCCGAGGTAAGCCTAATCCGGTCATTCCCAACAACACTCTCCTCCAGTTACTAACTCTGTGTCAGCGCAAGCAACACAACCTACGGGTGATTAGGCAAACGAAACACCATCTGCACATCGACCAACTCGACGTGCAACATCCAATCATGATGCGACACGACATGACACGACACGATCCGCGCCACTACGCCACTGTAGGCAGGCCTGGTGGCTAAGCACATTCCAGACGAACAAGTACGACAAAAGCACGATGCAACATCCGCATGACGCCATACACACCCACGGCAGTCATGCAACAGCAGCAGCACAGAAACCCACCGGCGCTCCCGCGCACGTTTCCTAACAAGAGGAGGAATTACAAGAGTGGTTATTGATCGATACCAAAAAAGTCTTTATTGAGCCAGCGAAAGTTTTCTGCCAAATTGCAACAATGTTGGCAAGTCCGTTTATCTACATACTCGCCAAGACGCGCGAAACTTGCCGCCCAACCTGCCGCCCCCAAAAAAAGAAGGCTTCGGTCTCTCTCTCTCTCTCTTTTGTTCGGCGTCGCGGTTACACCCGTTCCGAACACGCATGGTTTAGCTTCGAGGGCGGGCTAGCTAGCTAAGGGGGTGCCATGTAGTGGAGACTATGTGTGTGTGTATAGAAGCGCGCGACTGGAATTTGTTCAGTACGAGTTCCAGATCAAAGGTCCAGTGCCGTGACAGGCTACATACTGCAATCCAACACGAGTTTTTTCTTTTGTTAATGAATTGATGGCTAGGAGTACGTAGTGCAGCCGTCGCGATGAATCTTCATAGAATAAGCCGGTCAAGCTAGCGGATAAACTCTTCTCTCTCTTGTTCTCTCTCTGTGGCTTGACACGGGCTGCATTGCGAAAAGTGGTGTGACAATGACCACCCCCCATGTCATGTCCTCCACGTGTTGTCTCGCAAGTAGCCGTAGTATACGAAAAGTATAAGTTGCGACTAGCCAATGAAATAAATCCCAAGTCAAATCCAAATCCCCCTTTTTTTCGCGCTTCTCTACCGACGCCAAACCCACGGCGTTCGAGTCCTCGATACTTACCAGCGCTTCTCCCTTCCCACAGACCCTTCCATCTCGAGCAATGCGGGTGCGTGTTAAAAGACTGAAATGGTAGACTCGGTCACATGCACACACACACACGGGGTCTAGTTCACATGTTGTCTTACCACGTGGGGCCAGCTGTACTTGGTCGCAACCGGTTGCAGGAACGCCACCCCTCCCATCCCCCGCTTTACTTGGTTTTATGAGTGATTGCGACGTGCGGACGCAGCGGCTTTCACCACACAGTAGATCCCCCGCTTTACAAATATGATACTAACACGGAACCAACGTGACATGAGCTCCGCATACAGAACGGAAGACCCTGCAGATTCTGTGTGTGTACCATACTCGAAACATGTTTGGTCGTGTGGCTGGTTGCATTCTGTTTCTTCACTAGTAACCCTGCAGTTCATCCAGAGTCAGCGCATACTCGGTGGCAGATGTCGATAGAATATGTAGTAGTTAGCATTGTTGCTAAAGCAAAAACCAAAGAGTAATCGGCATTCCCAGTGATCATGTTTTGAGCTTCAATGCCGTACGCAGCCATGGCCCTGTGTTCATCTCGGTCGCGGTCATTTTCTGCTGCTATTGTCATGCTTACTTCAATAAAGTGCTGGTAAGTAACATGGGAAATGCGCAGCAAGCAAGACCGCTGACAGCATCCCATGCGCCAGGAAATTTGTACACTTATTTGCCCGCGAGGCGTGGAAGGAGTCTTTTAATACAAGTAGATTGGCCTTCAATCACAGACAAACACAAAACTGCCTTGTCTGTCGCAAAATGTTTTTTAAAATATCCGTGCAGCGTGCCCAGGTAGCTGGCGAAAAGCGCGCTACTTAGCAGATACTGGCATCCATAAAACGCTTGATTTGCTGGCGAGACAAGTTTCCTGGGTTCTGCACAAAGACACGCACTCTTAGCCACGTTTTCCCCGATAGTTCCGCTACAAGAGACGAACATGTGGGAGCTAGGTCGAAGCTACGGTAGCTCCATTCTAAACCCCTTTGGCGGCAGTTGTAGCAACCGGGCCGGTCTTGATCACACTATTTGGGTTAACCCTTGGGCCAAGAGGTGGCAGTGGATGTGGGCACGCGGGGTCATTTAACCCGTAAGAAGAAGAAATTTCTGTTGCCAGGTCCCACTAAGCGTTGTAAAAATTCTATGACGTGCGAGGTATCCACGCTTAGAGAGTGAGGTCGGTCTTGATTCGGCCCAGCACAACGTACCTTGACTCGTATCTGTTTGCACTTTTGCGCATTAGAAATTTGCGTGTTGATGTGGCTTCCGCACTCTAATGTTTCCTCGAAACCGCGGGGCCGACGAGTGAGACCTGGTCTAACTTCGGTTGTCCGGAGGAGGGCTCAATGTTGCAATCTTAGAGAGGAAAGGAAAGCGTTGGTGTTTGTCCATAGGCCCGATGCGCTAGCTTCTTACGGTTAGGCAGCCGATATCTCCAACTTCTTCCCCACTACCGCTCTCCAGGTAGCCGGCAAAAGTTATTCGTCCTACCACTAAGCCGGTATTTGGCCTACCACTTAGCCAGGGTCTGTATTAGTGCGGGCATATCTAAACTATATAGAGTTAGCACTATAATATAATAACTGTAATGGGCGGGCCCAACGGGCCGAGCGTACGACTACTTACGCCATCCATAGCCAAAAAGGCAGTAACAAGACTTCAAGCTTCTTGAAGTCCAGGTAGTCGTATAGATATACTCGATCACACACACACTTTAGGCGTAGCCTCTTACAAGTAGCAAAAGGTATAATAATAATTAAGAGCTTTATTATAGTTAGCTAACGTAATTATTATACTACGCTAGCTATAGCTTTTTTAGTAAGTAGCTAAGAGCCTATTTTAGGCTAGTTTCTAGGCTATATAGAACACTAAAAATTAAGTAGTATAGCTAGTTTTTAAGCCCTACTTTTTTTACTTTTATAACTTTTATTTTAGCTACGTAACACTATTAAATTTTTATTAATATACTAGCTATCTTTATATACTAGAAGTTACTATAGCATAGCTATATTATAGTAAGTAATATAAAATACTACTAGTATTTTAGCCAAGCCTACTAATGCAGACCCCTGCTAAGTGGTAGGCCAAATAGCCGCTTAGTGGTAGGACGAATAACTTTTGCCCAGGTAGCCTGGCCAACCCCCATGGTTGTTTTCCCAACACCACTATATCCTTGCCAATAGCAATAACGTAACGAGCCCATATATTCACCAAATCGGTGTCAGCCTCTGCGAGGATAGTGGCAGAACCCTACTTCGCTGGCCACACTGGCACCTCATAGACGCGAGGAAATGTGCCTGTCTGTTGACCGCCGATCGCCCCCGCCGGATGTACAACCCTAGCTACGGAACCCAAAAAGAACCTACTACATGAACTTTTCCCCGCAGCGGGTCATTTGACCAGCTCTATGAACCTATTCCCATTACAGGTTTTCTTGTACGTTCTGCTTTTGTATCCTCCAATCCGCTGACACTTTGGTTCGGCTTACAAGCCGAATGACGTCGGCACGGTCGAAGCACTAGGACACGGGTGTATTGGAAACTTCGGTGAAGGTTACATCCGCTGCCAAGCTCTGGAGCTAGGTCGACTATGGGGTGTATGGGCGGGGAGATGTACACCGAATTATGTCATACTATAGCGAAAGGTGCATAGCCAACATGCGACCACGACAAGCGCTATATTGTCATATTTCATCATAATAAGGCGCCGTCTCCCACTTGTTTCGTACCGCGCCCTCACTACCTTCAACCGACCTTTGAGATTGCAAGTGTGCCTCGCAGTCTGGCCCAAAAAAAACATGCGCACTTCCAGCTTTCTCGGGGCGCTTTCCAACGTGCCCTTGTTGGTTTCGGCAGCATGTCCGGAATACATCGACTATGCGAAGCAGGTGCACGAGCCGCTGAGTTCAGGCCGGTACAAGCTCGCGTATCAGCGACCGTCGGAGGAGTGCCGGACCTTCAAATCACCAGGCCTTGAGGACATAGTATCACGCATGAAGGGCGTGATCAAGGACCCAGACCTGTACCGTCTTTTCCAGAATGCGTATCCCAACACGCTCGACACGGCCATCAAATGGAAGGGATATGCTGCCGACAATCCAGAGGAAGAGTTGACTTTTGTCATTACCGGCGACATCAACGCCATGTGGTTGCGCGACTCGTCGAACCAACTGCAGAGCTACCTGCCCCTCTTGAATGCCAGCAGCAATGCAAACTCGATTGCAAGCCTGTACCGCGGCGTCATCAACCTGCAAGCGCGGTACCTGCTCACATCTCCCTACTGCAACTCGTTCCAGGCACCGGTCGAGAGTGGGATCCCTCCAGCGTTGAACGATGCGGCGAATGGTGACACGGTGCATCCGCCGTACTCCAACAGCAGCGTGTTTGAATGCAAGTACGAGCTCGACTCGCTTGCAGCGTTTCTGCAGATATCTGCCGACTACTACAATGCAACAAAGGACATTGATTTCTTTGGCAAGTTCAAGTGGACGCGGGCGATCGAGGCCATACTGGATGTAGCCGATGACATGATGCTCCCGACATATGGTGCGAACGGAGCCGTGTTGCAGAGCCCATATACGTTTACGCGTACGACGACGCGAGCGACGGAGACGTTTTCCAACGATGGAATCGGCAATCCAGTTGCCAACGGCACGGGCTTGATCCGAAGCGGTTTTCGGCCTAGCGACGACGCCACCATCTTCCAGCTGTACATTCCGGCCAACATGATGTTTAGCTCGTACTTGGCGCCGACGGCCGAAATCATGTCCAAGCTCAACACGACGACGTCCAAAGGACTTGCACAAAGAATGTCTGCACTGTCCAAGTCACTGCGCAATGCCATTGAGACGCACGGGACGGTTGAGCATGCGGGTTTTGGCAAAATCTATCCGTTTGAGATTGACGGGTTTGGCGGGCGGACCATTATGGATGACGCCAACATCCCGGGCCTTTTGTCTGCGCCCTTCTACAAGTACCCGGTGGACCAAGAGACGTATGCCAACACTCGCAAGCTGGTGCTCAGCGCGACCAACCCGTACTTCATGAGGGGGCCTCACATCAGCGCAATTGGGGGGCCGCACCAGGGCCCAGGCATGGCGTGGCCTATGGCATCGATTGTGCGCATTCTGACGAGCGACGACGACGACGAGATTGTGGGACAGCTTCAGGAGATTGTCAGCACGACGGATGGGCTGGGGCTGATTCACGAGAGCATCAATGCGTTCAACGTGAGCGACTGGACGCGGCAGTGGTTTTCGTGGGCCAACGGGCTATTTGGGCAGATGATCTTGGACCTGGAAGACCGCAAGCCGGCGTTGCTAGAGACGAGCTTCCAGTAATGGACCAAGTACTGTATGTATGTAATGAGCCATGTAGGAGATTAATGATAGCAATCACGGACGATTTGTCGGACATGGCACATGCACGGGCTGGGCGGCGGGGGGCACTAGGCGGTGAAACCATGTGCTACACAGGTCCAAAAGCCGTGGGTGTTATTGTTGCGACGGCACGACAATATATTGCTTTTTGGGTATCGAGTAATAGATGGGGGCACACGGGCCAGCGATGGGTGAGGGCACGAGTAGCATGGCCTGGTGGTGGTGCCGTGGTCCCAAGCCCAGCGTGGCAACCGGAGCGCAAAAAACAAAGAGCACATGGCTGCCCACGGGCGGGCGGCGTCAGGAACAGGCCATGGTGTGGTCACGCAATGCACGCTGGGACGGGGGGTTCTCTCCACCCTTCCCTCGTGGCAGTGGCAGGGCGAGTGACAGGCGGGGGGGCCCAAGCCGCAAACATTGTTGTTGGTCTTGTTGTTGTTGTTGGCAGCGAGTGGCCATGACTTGTTCAGCTGTGAGACCAGTGCCGCAGCCGGCGCTACCGTGTCGGGTCGCAGAGAATGGACGCGGCCATGGCCCGGTTGGGGGTTGCGTGCAGGCCGGGAGTTTGGCGGTGGGGCATCTGTATGCGCGGTGCCGGTTCCGTGGTGGTGGTGGTGGTGGTGGTGATGCTCGCCGCGCTCTGCTAGTAGCACTGGTCACAAGGCTGCAAAAGAAAACAACAATACACACACAACATGCACCCACGGGCGTGTCCGCAGCAACGCCCAGGACATGCATGGCTGTGACGCTGGCTGCCACTTGGTGCATGAGCGATATGCGACGACGAGAAGCTGAGTTAGCATGTCGACCTGCATGGCGCTGTGAGTGGATCGCCTCGCTGCTGGGCGGGCGATCGGGCCAGGGGCGGCAAGGCGGCGGAGCGGCGCATCAAGTCGCCGTGGCTGCGTCAAGGGCGCGAGAGAGACACACAGAGAGAGGCGTAACCGCGCGCTCTCGCTCCCACTCCTCAGCTCAGCCCAGCTCAGCTCCTCGCACCATCGACTTGCCAACAACCATGCCTCAGCCTTGGCCCCCGACTTCGTGCTAATTGCTGCTAGTTCCTGCTGATTGCTGCTCCCATGGTCCGCCTGCGCTGCACACCTCCCTGGCCGCTCGACAGACGAACCACTCTGCCCCCCCAACCCCCGTCGACGCCAATCTGTAACAGCCATGGGCACCACGGCCGAGGAAATGAAGGAGCTGGAGGCTCCTCTCTGTCCGACGCGTACCCGCCAACGAGCACCACAGCCCATGGCCATGACATAAGCCGCCATCATGCGCCTGCGGATTGGCGTGTTTTGGATTGGGCCCTCGAAATGCATCGTGCAAGTCCACGTCCAAGCCCTCGCTCGCTCCCCCGTTGCTCTTTTCCTTAGCATGGCGCCAGTGGCTGCCTGTCATCCGCCGCTTCCTCCCCCAGCCTAACCCGGACGACTACTTGGCCCTCCTAAATGCAACCCCGTCGGCTGCTCCCCTTCTCTCCATTACAATACACCCATACAGACACACATCCACCCATCCATCTATACCCGTCCATCTCAACCCAACATTCAGTCGCCCTCGGCCCGTTGCGCATATCCTCTTGTTTCACATAGCCGACCACCGCAGCCATTCGGGTCCTGCATACTAAGCGCCCAGGTTGCCTCATCCATCCGCTCTCGTATGCCCCCCATCATCCACAGGCGCCAACCCCGCCAATCTAGGGCCCCCGTGCCCGGCCCTCGGTCTCCACCCCCCAAACCGCTGCTGGTGACCAGGACCAGCCTGCATTAAACATCGTGCCTGTTGTTTGCCTCGGAAATTCCCCGGTCGCCCTTGGTGTCCTCAGGCTGCCGCGTACCTGGTCTGCCTCGCCTCAATCCCACATATAGCCCACCGAGGCGCGGTTTCAGCTTCCTGCCAAACGTGTGCCGTCCTTTACCAATCACTGAATTGCTTTGCCGTGTTTCCTGGCCACTTTTCCGACGTGGCCACACACAAGGCAACACGCTCAAACATTCAACTCACCTCTACGCATGCACTTCTATATTTGATACTCACCATCCCATGCCATATCTCAGACTTGGCCAGGGCTTAGACGCATACGCGCTTCACAGTCGGCAGGCTTTTCCATTACCAGCCTAGACTCATCCGCCATCATGGACAACACCACGCTCCACACCTTTCTCTTGTATGTCTACCCTCCCCCATCTGTGCCTCTTCCCCAAGGCAGTCACTTATCCTCGCTCCAAGTCACTGCCCTGCCGCACTGCGCAGCATCGTCTTACTTGGATCCTGGGACAACTTCACCCGCCCATATCCGCTCGAGCTCGACGTCCGTGGGGGCGGAAATATCTGGAGAGGCTGCTTTACCTTCTCCGACATCATTTGCGACGGAGACGTGAACCAGCCAACACTCAAACGGGACGGGCCACTCAAGATGGGCGGCACTTATTGGTACTACGTAAGGTTTGACGGCTGTAGCAACAAGCCTCACAAGCTGACAGCATGCACAGTACAAGGTTGATGGCGATGAAGAATATCACAACCCTGCCGAAGAATCGACAACCTTTTGCCCCTTGCTGCCGGGCCAGCGCCTCAATGTTCTGGATGTGCCTACTGAGGCGCATAGCCGTAGCCGCTCCGAGATGACTGGCGCCTTCACACGCAACCCCAGAGACAGATATCTCACGCCCGTTCCACCTGCTCCTCCAAGGTCACGCACCTCTTCTCGCAAGGGCGAGCTACAAGACTCACACGCCAATCTGTTACCCCCAACCTGGACCCCTCGATCGGCCACACATGCACCTATGGATGGCTTTCTGTCTCCGCGTCTAGTACGACATGCTCGGAGTGCATCGGCATCACCATGCATGCCCTCTACACCCATCTTCCCAGACTTCAAGACTCTCAAGGGCAAGCTGGTTTCAAAACGAGGCGCTTCAAGGAACCGCTCTGGATTGAGAACCAAGGAATTGGACATTAGCTCTCCTGTGCTAGTCAGCGGTGGAGAAGATCTCAAACTGGTTCCCTTGTCCGTGTATCGACCATCGGTTGAATCGATCCGGGAAACCCAATCGGACTCGACTCCTGCACGGTCCATGTCCATGATAAGAAGAGAATTTTCTCCCCTGGCATCACATCCTGTCGACCCGGATCTCGACTCGGCATTTGGACCTGTGGAGCTACCGGCAGCGGAACAGCGCTCCATGCGGCGCCGACGGTCTCATGTGCCCTCAACAATCGTCACTAGCGAATTCAAGCTTGAGCAACTCCGGATCCGTGCCAACTCTACCGACACAAGGCGAACACGGCACTATCTCTTTTCGAACGACCCCTGGCTCTCTTCACCAAAGTCTCCACTAGAGTCCAAGAACGAAGACCGAGTGGTGCAAGACGACACCCCTCCGGCGCCTGTCTTGTCGCGACCATCGAGTTCTCTTGGAGCTCCAGTTTCAAGTCAGCGTCCCACCTCTAGCCATGGCAGCCGTCGTACTGCCACTTTTCGACAGTCGCTACTCGACAAAGAGCTTCCTGCACTTCCCCGCTACCTGGTGCCTGCACCGCTCTACGCATGTAACCCTACGACAGGCAGCGATTCGTCAACCGAAGAGTCGGAAGACGAGTTCCAAGAAGCGGATGATGACGAGTGCCTTGAACACAATAGTGTGCAAATCTCACAAAAGGCACGCAGCCACTTTTCTACATGGAGTGATGACTCGATAGCCTACAGCGCCCCGGCCTCTGACGATGAGGTTGTCCTTTCACCAACATTCAGCTCCCTCACCAGCAACGACGGCGAGTCCATCACGTCCCAAGGTCTTATGATCCGCTACTCGTACGCAGAGTCGGAAGGCCATGATGGCTACAGGCCCATGTCACCAACCCCCGATATCCATCACATGACCGATGACGAAGAGGAAGACTCTGACTTGCACTACCGTCTGTCGACACCGCCCCAACTTAACGAACTGCGCATCTCCACTTTTGGCTCCGACCTCTTTCAGCCGAGGCCTCAGAGCCCAGATGTGTCATCTCCTCGCTCCTCGCGTCGCCAGGCTGCCTGCTTCGGTCTCGGCTTCCAGTACAGCCTCTCAGAAGACGATGTGAGGAGCAAGTCTACCCTCACCGAGGTCGACATGCATGCCGAGCAGCTCTCACGCACCGTCAGTGTGCACAGAGACAGCACCATGACGCAGCTCAATGCGCTTATGGAGGACTTTGCTTTCTTAGGTGACGCCGTCAATTAGCACATCCCTTGACGCATGCACGCGAACGACGTTTTATCTCCTCCTCCCACACGATACATATGTAATTTTGCTTGTACACTGAACTGGTCTTTTACGCCACATTTACGGACCGGGGACTCTCTGTTCCATGCTATATATCCGTCACTTGAGCGAGCCCATGGAACCACACGAAGAAAGGGAAGAATGGGGGATAATTTTTTTCCCCAACACGCTCGCCCACCCCGCGTTGCGCTTGATTCGCTCTTCTTCTTTTTTTTTCACATCATCTAACGGCCGGAACAAAACAAAAGATTTTAGATCGCTCTGCCTCTACCGCTTTCTTTTTTTATTCGATACCTCGTATATATACATTCAAATTATATATACATGTTTTTTTTTGGACTTCTTATTTCTCAATCTCAATATATCGACGCATTATCTGAGTGTAGTGCTGGTTCCTCTTTTCCTTTTTTTTCCTTCTTCTTTCTCTTCTTTTCTCTACTTTTCTCTGCATCTCTGTGCTTGAATAGTTTATCCTTCTTTCTCTTTTTTTTTCCCGGGTCATCTCAGATATATACCACGAGTGAACGCACACGCGGGTCTTTCGTCTTCCCCCCCTCCCCCTTTTTCGGTACTCCATTGAGCAGTTGAATTCAATCCGACCCATGTAGTATTTATCACCGTCCTCAACAACATCAAAATCAAATGCTCATTCAATACCGCAATCCCGCTTCCAAGCCCCCTCAATTGTCATTTCAGCTTACACTCTACACTGCTCTATTCTACTCCATGTACTCTATTCTATGTACTCTACTCTATTCTATGCAAAGTTTCTCGCTTACTTACCCCATTCCGCTTAACCCACCACCACCAGGTCTTACCATAACCATGTCTTACTAGAGCTACGCCACCCTATATCAACGAAGTAATACCGCACCGTACCCCCCCTGATGACTAATTAAACTTCCCATCTGCAGTCCGCTTATTCCCGTCCGTCCGTCCGTCCGCCCCGCCTTGCCTCCCGCCTACTTACTTACTTACTTACTTCCCCGTCCCGCGCACCGCCACAGCTGTAGGAAATCTGTGTGCGTCTGAGATGACACCGCCTCTTTTCCTTTTTCTTTTCTTTTCTCTTTTTTTTAAGTTTGGTTTCAAGGTCGTGCGTTTCGCTTGGTTATGCAAAGAGGGAATCGTTAGTGCATGTGCATAGACGTGGTGTCACTTTCTTAGCAGTGGTATTTCTGTAAAAAAAAAAATTAAATAAAAAATTTCAAAGGTAACTAGCCCCACCACAAAGTGCGCGCGACCACAAAGTGCGCGCGCGCCTTACAACCACCTCAACCTCAACGCGTCGTATCCCCACCACCATGGCTAATATTGAGGCTGCGCTTGCAGCTATTAATGCCCTAGGACCTGATGAGCCTTTTTCGTATACAGATATTGCAAAAAAATATGGTGTTGTTCGATCTACGCTTACCCGAAGACACCAAGGCCTACACGCC